CTCTCTCTCCCTCCCTCCCTGTCTGTGTATCTATCTATCTCTCTCTCCCTCCCTCCCTGTCTGTGTATCTACCTCTCTCTCCCTCCCTCCCTGTCTGTGTATCTACCTATCTATCTATCTCTCTCTCTCTCCCTCCCTCCCTGCCTGCCTGTCTGCCTATCTCTCTGTGTCTATTTCTCTCTCTGTCTCCCTGTCTGTGTCAATCTCTCTCTGTCTGTCTATATCTATCTCTTTCTCTGGGATCAGAGGCGGGTGGAGCTGGAGCTGAAGCGAGTCTGTTGAGAGGCGGAAACCAGCAGGATAACTCTTTACTTTCCTGATCGTGGAGAGTGGCCCCAGGCTCTGGCAGTTTACAATGTGCCTTTGAACACTGCACCAGCCTGACTTTACTTTATCATCTCACAGCAAGACCGCCTGCAAAAACAAAACATAAACACAACAACTCATGGATTTATGAACGGGTCTTGACCTCTACTTTACCGCAGTGTTATGCAATATGAAACTCATTTGGAAACCCCTCTCACCCCTAGGAGTGGACATAAGGGGCTGGAAATCCACTCGATTCAGGGAGTCCTTTCAAAATGCTCCAAAACCAATTTGTGGTCTTCAGACTCCAGTATCTGACTGAAGGAGTGCCACAGTGTCTCTCTCTCTCTCTCTCTGCCCCTCAGTGGGGTGTAAAAGGTTCCAGCTGATATTTATTGTGAGAAGGGCAGGGCAGAGTTCTCCCCAGCCTGGGCTAAAAATGAAACCTCAACATATAGGGCCAACCCAATTAAAATGATCGGCTTGTACCAAAATAACACTGGGATACCGATAACCTGAAATGTGAAAAAAAGAACAGATTGCCAGAAAGCCACAGGGGCAGTGGAGAGAGAAAGGAAAGAGTTCATTTTCAGGTCATTGAATTATGTGCCAGAGCTTGCTTTGAGCAAAATGACTGCCATACTTCATTCCTGACTGCACTCCGAAACTCCTTCCCTGGCTACTTGGGTACTTATTTTTCCTCAGAAGGTTGTGAGTCTTTGGACTTCCTTTTTCCTAGGGTGGAGGTAGCTATTACGAGGGGGCATAGTTTTAAAGTGAGTGGAGGTAGATACAGGGGAGACGTCAGAGGTAGGTTCTTTACTCAGAGAGTGGTCGGGGCGTGGAATGCATTGCCGGAGAAGGTAGTGGAGTCGGCCTCGTTAGGGGCATTTAAGGGGCTATTAGATAGGCATATGGATGATAGTATAAGGTAGCAGTGGAGGTTAGATAGACTTTAGGATTAGGGTAAAAGTTCGGCACAATATTGTGGGCTGATGGGCTTGTACTGTGCTGTACTGTTCTACGTTCTGTGTTCTAAAAGGCAGTGGATGCAGAATTTTTAATTTTAAGGCAGATGTCATAGAGTCATATGGGTCAGAAACAGACCCTTCAGTCCAACATGTCCATGCTGAATATAATCTCAGATTAAACTAGTCTCACCTGCCTGCATTTGGCCCATATCCTCCCAAATCTTTCCTACTCATGAACTTATCCAAATCTCTCTTAAATGCCGTAACTGTACCCCACGTCCACCACTTACTCTGGAAGAGAGGTAGATAGATTCCTGATGACCAATGGGATGAAAGATTATGAGGGATATTCAGGAATGTAGATTTGAGGTTAACATCAGCCATGCCATGATCTTATTAAATGGCCTATTCTTGGTCCTTGATTGTACGTAGATGGGTAAGAGGGGTTCAGGTGGGCTGAAGGTGACTCAGACTAGCTAGCACTGGTGTGAAGGGCTGAACAAGACTTGTTTTGGCTCCATGAGATTCCATGATATAGCACCTGTGACCGAGGGAGACCGGACACTGAATCAAGGAAGATGATGATAGGTTGGGGGTGGATTTACACAGGAGAGTGAATTGGAGAGATTTCAAGGTTCGGGGCAGGGGCTTGCGACCTTGACTGCTATTTAAGACTGGGAGAAGGAAGCAGCGATACACAAGAGAATTCACCGAGCTACATAACCTCCATGGAAGCCCAAGATTTCAACATATTCCTTTGAAACAGAGATAGTAGGAACTGCAGATGCTGGAGAATCTGAGATAACAAGGTGTAGAGCTGGATGGACACAGCAGGCCAAGCAGCATCAGAGGAGCAGGAAGGCTGACGTTTCAGAGGGTTTTTTGGTCAGGATCGAGAGCATTGGAGCATAGAACAATAAATGATTCAAGCACCGTGTACAGCATAATTCGCAGATCAATGTCACGCAACTTTGTGGATTGCAAAGCCCCTTTGTAGAGTCATAGTCATTTACAATGTTATAGGATGCTATTTGTGTTGTGAGGGTTGTGAATATTTGGAACTCCTTACCACAGACAGCTGTGGAGGCAGAGTCCTTGTTTATACGTAAAGCTGAGATAGATAGATCCTTAATAAAAACCGAATGCGGATGCTGTAAATCAGGAACAAAAACAAAGTTGCTGGAAAAGCTCAGCAGGTCTGGCAGCATCTGTGAAGGAGAAAACAGAGTTAACGTTTCAGGTTCAGAGACCCTTCCTCAGAACTTAGATAGATTCTTGATCATTAAGGGAATCAAGGGTTACAAGGAAAGGGCAGAAAAGTGGACATGAGGAATATCAGATCAACCACGATTCTATTGAATGGTGGAGCAAGGTCCAGGGGCCGAAAGGCTTGCTTTAATTCCTTTTCCTTTGGTCTTATAGTCATTTAGCCACTTGTAGTTGAACTGATTCTTTGAAAGAACTGTTGTGCTCGGGTCTACATCTCCACCAGCCCCAATAGCAGTAAGATGGCGGTGGAATAGGGCATCACAGCCCAGGGCTCGCCCACTTTTCATTTCTTTTCTTTTTTCTCGATCTTCTCTCAATTTTTTTCTCTTCTATGCTATTTATCTCTTGGTGAAGAACTTGGTTGCAGTGACAGCATTGGTGACAGCGAGTGGGCCCAGCAGCGCAGACTGGAGTAGGCCAAGCAGCGCGGACTCGAGTAGGTCCTGCAGCATGGACTCGGTTAGGCCCTGCAGCGCAGACTCGAGTAGGTCCTGCAGCATGGACTCGGGTAGGACCTGCAGCGCGGACTCGAGTAGGTCCTGCAGCGTGGACTCGGGTAAGCCCAGCAGCATGGACTGGAATAGGCCCACCAGCATGGACTCGGGTAGGCCCTGCAGCGCGGACTGGAGTAGGCCCTGCAGCATGGACTTGAGCAGGCCCAGCAGCGTGGACTCGAGCAGGCTCTGCAGCATGGACTGGAGTATGCCCAGCAGTGTGGACTCGAGCAGGTCCTGCAGCGTGGACTCGGGTAGGCCCAGCAGCGCGGACTCAAGCAGGCCCTGCAGCGTGGACTCGAGTAGGCCCAGCAGCACGGACTCGAGCAGGCCCTGCAGTGTGGACTCGAGCAGACCCTGCAGCGTGGACTGGAGCAGGCCCAGCAGCGCGGACTCAAGCAGGCCCTGCAGCGTGGACTGGAGTAGGCCCTGCAGTGCGGACTCGGGTAGGCCCTGCAGCTTGGACTGGAGCAGGCCCAGCTGCGCGGACTCGAGCAGGCCCTGCAGCGTGGACTGGAGTAGACCCAGCAGCACGGACTCGAGCAGGCCCTGCAGTGTGGACTGGAACAGGTCCTGCAGCGTGGACTGGACTAGGCCCTGCAGCATGGACTGGAGTAGGCCCAGCAGCGCGGACTCGAGTAGGCCCTGCAGCACGGACTTGAGCAGGCCCAACAGCACAGCCTGGAGTAGGCCCAGCAGCACGGACTTGAGCAGGCCCAGCAGCGCGGACTCATGATCGCGGCGTTGGAGGCAAGTTTGGGTTCCCTGCAGCCTCTGCGTTCAGCACAGATTAATGGAGGCGAAGGCAGAGGTGAGTTTGAGCCCAGTATGAGACCTAGAATTGGCTAAGTGCCCGAAGGGTGGGCCCGAAGCAGACTCATGGCAGCAGAGGTGAGTCTGGGCCGGTGAGGTACCGGGCAGCATCAGTGTTGTCTGCATTCGAAAGATCCAGCAAGGACTTGCAGTGGTGATGACATTCGTGGAGGTGTGATGGTGCCAAAGAGAGCAACTTTCATTCCTGCTGCAGTGGTGTTGCGAAGGCGACTTGTGCCTGGCCACCAGACCCATGGCCCATGACGGAGCACTTAACAAGAAGTACTGTAAAGTTGGACACTTTCTTTATTTTGTAATTTTTCTGCCTTTATATTCCATGTTTTGCTTTATTGCTCTGTGTTTTAAGATGGTGCTGGAGAGTGGCAACACTTTTCACTGTATTTTGTAACAAGATACATGTGACAATAAATAAATCAAATCAAATCATTGCCTGGCTTTCTGTCCATAACCATATCAGCCCCTCAAGTGTACGCCCAACTCTTCAATCGCATCTTTTAGATGTGTCAAAGTATTTTACAGCCAATAATGCCTTTTTCTTAAATGTAATCACTGCTGTGTAGGTATATACAGCAGCAAACTGACACGCAACAAGTCCCCACAAAAAGAGATAAATGACATCTGGTGGCATTGATTAAGGGACGCACTGCTTCTGATGTTTCTCAGGCAACACCCACACGACAGGCCGCAAGTTAATCATTGAGATTAGAATCATAGAATAGTGGAATATGACCGGGACCCCCGAGTTAAAGTCCCACCTGCTTCAGAGATGGTTAATTAGAAAAATAGATTAATTAAAACAACTTTTTCAAAAGCTAGAATAATGGAGTTGTGGTTTTTGTGGTACAGTGGTAGTGACAGCTCAGAAGGGCTAGGTTCAAGTCCCACACATTCCAGAGGTGTGTAATAGCATTTTTCTGAACACGATTAGAATTATCAAGCAGAATCAAGTGTCAGTGGCGGGGGTTGGCAAACCCCGACCTATCCAGTTAACTCTGCTGTTTCCAGACACGTGTTTTTTTTTTGTTATTTGTTCACGGGTGTTGCTGGCTAGGCCAGCATTTATTGTGTATCCCTAATTGCCCAGAGGGTAGTTGAGAGTCAAACACATTGCTGTGGTTCTGAAGACGCATGTAGGCCAGAGCAGGTAAGGATGGGATATTTCCTTCCCTAAAAGACCAGATGGAGCTTTACGTCAATTGACAGCGGTTACACGGTAAGCATTAGGCCATCTGCATTGGTGGGATTCCAATCCGTGTCCTGAGAGTATTGCTCTGTGGTTTCTAGTTTAACATCTCATTGGAAAGGTGGCACCTCTGACAGTGCTACACTCCCCCAGCACCGCACTGTAGCATCAGTCTTGAGTACAAGTTTCAAATCAAGGGATTTAACATAAACCATGGGATGGAATATTCCATTAAAGAATGGCAAGGCAATTCAATTCTTATGCTATTTGTTGTCCGTGTTAAAGCATAATGTTCCAAATTTCCTCAGTAGTCAGTCAAAGGTGGGTACAAGGCCAGGGAGCATGCGCCGTCATGTCAGGCCGGCAGCCGCCGCGACATCCGGTTTCCCGGCGTTCCGAGCGCGCAGCAAGATGGCGCCGGCTCACTTCCTGTGGTTGTTGCCGCGGCGACCAAATTTTTTAAAAATTAAAACTAAGTCCAAGCCTTCATTCGGAAAGGACAACATCGGGTTTGAAATCAAAGGCGGAGTCAGCTTTCAGTAGTTTTACTTACGTTTCTCTACGCTGGAAAATATCGCTTTGATGACGACGTGGGGGTGGGGAGCAAGCGGAGGGGGGGGGGTTGGGGCGGTTGTCATGGTGACGGCTGTTTGTCAGCCTGAGGCCTACAGCAGGTAACAGGAATAATTCCCAATTACTTACTTGCCTGGAATTGAAACTCAGCGATTACAGTCTGTTAGAATTCCTTATGGGCGTCTAGGCGAGGGAGGACGGGATTGAAGACAAAATATGGGATTAAAACACAACCTGAGAATATTTGGAGCAAGGTCTGGTTCTGATTCCCTTTCCCAATGCTACCTTGTCCTTGTTTTTGACACCACGTTTGGTTTTGTATTGTGGGTTTCAGCAATAGACTTGCTGCAGAGAAACGTAGAGTCGCTTTACAGAACGGATTCCAGAGGATTTGGTGTCTGTGATCTGCGGTGGCGCCGTTGCTGGTGGTTGTCTGTCATTGCAGTGTTACATGTTTACATAGGAATTTCCCCACTGCGGATAGGCAAGAGCACGTATCGGGAAATCAGTAGATTTAGTCCTTATTATCGCAGGTTATGGGTTGGTTCTTAGCCAGGGCTGGAGTGCCCGAGAACTGCTGTAGCCGTAGATGATTGGATGATACCTGAGATCATACGAAATAGGAGCACAAATAGCTTGTTTGGCCCAGCATTCATTAAGATCACAGCTGATCTAATTTTGGGGGAGGGGAGCAGGCATGAGAATCCCCCATAATCATTGACTCCTTTGTCAATCAAAAATCTATCTCCCTGAACGTTGAATTATTTTTACATTCATTCACGGGATGAGGGTTTCACTAACTAGGCCAGCATTTATTCCCCATTCTAGGGGCGGTTAAGAGTCAACCACATTGCTGTGGATCTGGAGTCACATGTAGGCCAGACCAGGTAAGGATGGCAATTTCCCTCCCTAAAGGACGTTAGTGAACCTGCTTGGTTTTTCCTGTCAATCGACGTTGGATTCATGGTCAACATTAGACTCTTAATTCCAGATTTTCTATAATTGATTGTAATTGAATTCAGATTCTACCATCTGCCAGGCAGAATTTGAACCAGAACATTAGTTGAGTCTCTGGATTAACAGTCCAGCAATAATACAACTCGGTCATGACTTCCCCAAGGTGACTCAATGACCCAGCCTCCATTGCTTTCTGTGCAACAGAATTCCAAAAACTTTGGAGAGAAAAAATTCCTGTTTCTAACTCCCTTAAATGGAGATCCTTTCTCTTTAAACAGTGCCCTCCAGTTGTAGATGATTGTAGCCTCATCCTGTCCACCTGTCCACGTTCCTGTCCAGCTCTGATAAACCCCTCCCCACTTAACAAGAATCTCCCTTGCTCTGCCTTAAAAATATAAAGGGAGTGCTTCTTTTTATGAAAGAATCTCAAAGACTTATGACCTTATGAGAGTCAAAATTCACCTCCTCTCTTCTTTCAAACGGGCAAGCCCTGTTTTTCAAACTGTGACCAACATCACCACCACACCTGCACCCCCCACCCCAACACAATTAGGTCTAAATTCTCCCATTGGAGAAAAAGTCCTCATCTACCCTCTCAAGACTCCTCAGGATCTCATATGTTTCAGTCAAGTCACCTCTTAGTCTTCTAAACTTCAGCAGATAGAAGCCTAGACTGTTGAACACTTTCTCATAATATACACCTCTCATTCCCAGTATTAGTCTGATCACATTTCTCTAAACTGCCTAAAATGCATCAGCTATGTTAAAAATCTCACATGTTTGAATAAAATCACCATTTATTCTTCTAATCTCTGAGGGATATAGGCTCATCCTTCCTTATACGACACCCTTTCCATTCCAGGAATCAGCCTAATAAACCTTCTGTGCACTTATATGCTTTCTTATGTAAGATGACCACTGCACTTCAGATGTGGTCCACCAATGACTTATACAGTTGTAGTAAACCTTCCTTTCTTAATACATCATCATGACCTTTGTAATAAAGACAAACATTCCTTTCGACTTCCTAATCACTTCCTGTACCTGCAAACTATCTTTTGTGCTTCATGTACAAGGATTCACGCACAGAATTAGACAGAATGGAAACAGACCCTTTGGCCCAACTGATCTTTTTGTATTGCTCAAAAATACAACACAAGAGTCAGGTAGTTTGGCCTAATATGCCTTTGTCTAGTTCTGAGCTCATCGGAAGCTAAGCCATTCTCAAACAGCCCTGTCCCTGGCAACCATTATCAGAGCATGGGAAATACCATGTCTGTGTGAAATTCCCTTGTTTCCCCAATGACCAAGGGTGCCAAGGCAGGGCTGTAATTTCCTATCTTTTCCATCTTACCATCTTCACATAAACAGAAAGGATGACCAGCTGGGAATTTGTAAAGGAATACAGTGTTGGGGTGTGGGTAGGGAGACGGATGGGGACGACACGCAGTGAAGGTCCAGATCACGGGGGTGGAGGACGGGGTGAGGAAATTGGGTGAGAAAGTGTTTTGCATTTCATAAATGGTGTCATTGAAGTAATTTCTCATTAGCATTCCAATACAGGTAAGAGGAGAAGGGAACAACTGCAATCATGTCAAAGAAGAAGAAAGGACGTGGAGAAGGCAAGAGCAAGGCAGTAGGAATGGAGTTGGAAGTTCTGACAGCAGCTGCTGAACGGATTGTCACACTGCAAAATGAGTGAGGATGGCAGTATTTAATAACGAGTATTATCAAGGGAGGGAGACGTTACATGTCAGCTGTCCAAGATATGAAGCACTAGTTATTGTAGAAGGATTTTGTCATCTCTTGGTTTACAGATTCGTACATACAATCAATTATACTGAAGCTCCCATTTGCAAAGATCAAGATCCCATTGCCATTAATGTGATGGAGAAGCATTGACTCTATTCTGGAGATGTTGTTCAGGCCATTGGGTCACTGCTCCTCTATCATTAGTGGCTGTGGGAACTTGTACATCTCCACAGTCAGATGACTCATCGGTATAATCTCCCATCTAGCAGCCCCAGCTGGACAATGTGGTGTCCCTCAGCACTGCTCCTGGTAGAGTAAGAGGAATGAACTGAGGGCTAGTCCATTTGCAACAGATGCTTATAATAAGCATAAGTCAAAATTGTCTGTTACAAAAAAAACTATCTGAGAAGAAAGAATTTGCAGGATTATAGGAAAGCATGGGGTTAGATACAGAGTAGAGCTCTCTCTACACTGTCCCGATCAGATACTCCAAGGACAGGTACAATGCAGGGTTAGGTACTGCATAAAGCTTTCTCTACACCTTCCTCATTTAATAATGACAACAGCTTCAGGACAGGGTTAGATACAGACTAAAGCTGCTTCCACTCTTCAAACTAAGAGTAAACGGAAAGTCAAGCGACAGATTTTCTCAAAAACCTTGGAAAGTCATGCTCTGTCTACACTGTTCCCACAGGTATAACAGAATTAGATACAGAGTAAATCTCCCTTTACTCTTTTAAACTGAAAGTAAAGCATCCTCCGCAGAGTCTCCATCAAACCCTCCCAGGATAGGGAAAGCATGAGGTTAGATACAGAATAAAGCTTTCTATTCTGTAAAACTGCAAGTAAAGCTTTACTATTTTCATACTAAAAGTAATTGTAAGTAAAGCTCCCCAGACACTGTTCTGATCAAACATTCCCAGGACAGGTACAGCACAGGGTTAGAACTGAGTAAAGCTGCTTCTACTCTTTTAAAAACTGAACTTAAAGCTTGCTCTACACTGTGTCCATCACAACACTTCCAGGACAGGGACAGCATGGGGTTAGATACAGAGTAAAACTTCTCTGTACTGTCCCTTTACTCGTGTGAGATTGGTGCTAGCTGAATTGATCAGAGAGCCAGTAGAACATGTTGAATGGCTTCAATTCATGCTGAAATAATGCTATATTGTTGTACTGTTTGCTTTGAGATATTTGAGAAAGATCATCACGTGCATTATCAAAGTGTCTTTTTCACTGCTTTGACTGCGCTGAACTCTGCGGTATGTTTCAGCCTATCCATACCAAAAGAAGTCAGACTGGGTAACAATTGTTTCAGAGATAGTGGGAACTGCAGATGCTGGAGAATCTGAGATAACAAGATGTAGAGCTGGATGAACACAGCAGGCCGAGCAGGAAGGCTGACGTTTCGGGCCTAGACCCTTCAGAAAATCTGAAGAAGGGTCTAGGCCCGAAATGTCAGCCTTCCTGCTCCTCTGATGCTGCTTGGCCTGCTGTGTTCATCCAGACTGGGTAATAGAATACTTCCCAGAATAGACAGGTGATATATAGGACAGTGTAGAGGGGCTTCATTCAGTATCCAACCCCCTACTGTACCTGTCCTGGGAGTGTTTGTTGGGACAGTGTTGAGGGAGCTTTACTCTGTATCTGACCCGGTGCTATACCTGTCCTGGGAATGTTTGATCGGGACTTTCAGTTTAAAAGAGTAGACTATATAGATTATAGAGTATATTTCTGTGTATATAATTCTGTGCTGTACCTATCCTGGGAGTGTTTATTGGCAGCAGTGTACAGGAAGCTTCACTTTCTATCTGACACATGCTGCACCTGCCCTGGAAATGTTTAGTTGTTAAGGACAAGTTAAAGTGCCAGGATATTGTAAAGTTTTGATGATTATTCTGAAATCTTTAATTTTATTTTGAAAGGTACGATGAACTGGTTAAAGAGTTGAAACAACTGAAATTGAAGATTTATAACCTGTATCCTTTGCTGTGATTTAGTAAATATGCACAGCATGTGGGAACATGATCAGTATTGGGAATATCAGTATTGTTGCAATCACTGAGACATGGTTGAAGGACAGACAGGACTGGCAGCTGTACATTCCAGGGTGTAGCAGTTTAATATACGTCGGAGGGGGAGAGTAAGAGAGGTAGGGACATTGCATTATTGATAAAGGAAACCAACACTGCAGTAATGATGGAGGACGTCCAAGAAGGGTCTTCAAGTAAAAAAGAGGCAGTTATCTTGCTGGGGTTATACTACAAGCCTCCCCACAGTCAGAGGGTGATAGAGGAGTGAATATGTAGACAAATCACAGAAAGGAGCGAGAGAAGCAGGGTTATAGTTTAAGTGGACTTCAACTTTGCTAATATTCCTGGGATCACTTTAATGTGAAAGGATAAGTCGAGGTGGAATTTTTAAAGTGAATTCAGGAGAGCTTTTTGTGCCAGTAAATAGAATCTTACTAGAGATGGGGCAATGCTCGACATAATCCTAGGGAATGAAGCGGTTAAGTGTTTGAAGTTTCAGTGGGCAAGCATTTTGGGGACAATGATCATAACTGTAAGTTTCTAAGTCATTATGGAAAGGGATAAGGATAGTGTGGAAGTTAAGTGTCTAAATTGGGGGAAGGTCAATTTCAATATCATTAGACAGGTTCTGGCAAACGTAGCCTTAGAAAAGGGGGCAAAGGGTGATGGTGGAAAGATTTTTCGTAATTGGAAGCCTGTAACCACAGGCTTCAGTGCTGGGACACTTGCTGTTTGTTATATACATTAACGACTTGGATAGGAATGTAGAAGGTATAATTAGTAAGTTTGCAGATGACATGAAAATTGATGGTGTTACTGATAGTAAGGTGGATGGGTTCAGGCTACCTTTTTTTATTCATTCACAGGATGAGGTCATCGCTGGCTATGCCAGCATTTATTGCCCATCCCTAGTTGGCCAGAGGGAAGTTATGAATCAACCACGTTGCTGATATTAATCAGCTTGTAAATTGGGCAGAGCAATGGCAGATGGTATTTAATCCTGATATGTGTGAAAGGATGCATTTTGGGAAGCCTAATTAGGGAATGATATACACAATGGATGGTAAATCCCTAGGGAGTACTGAGGAACAAAGGGACCTTAGCATTAAAGTCCATCGATCCCTGAAGGTGGCAGCACAGGTAGACAGGGTGGTGATGAAGGCATATGGGATGCTTGCCTTCATCAGCTGGGACACACAATATAGAAGCAAGAAAGTCTTGTTGTAACTTTATTTAAAAAAAACATTGTTTAGGCCACCAATGCAATTCTGTGCGCAGTTCTGGTCGCCACACTGTCAGAAGGGTGCGATTGCATTGGAGAAGGTGCAGAGGAGATTCATTAAGCTGTTGCCTGGGATGAAAAGTCTCAGTTATGAGGAGAGACTGGATAGACTGGCTTCCTGCTCTACCTAGAATACTCCTCCTCCCACCCACCTTCCTGCAAAAATGCTATCCCCTATTCCCAATTCCTTCGCCTCCGCCGCATCTGCTCCCAGGATGAGGCATTCCACTCCCGTACATCTCAGTTGTCCTCGTTTTTCAAGGACCGTAACTTCCCCTCCTCGGTGGTCGAGAACGCCCTCAACCGTGTCTCCCACATCTCCCACACCTCATCCCTCACACCCCGTCCACGCAATAAGAACCAAAAAAGAATCCCCCTCGTCCTCACGTACCACCCCACCAACCTCCGGATCCAACGCATCATCCTCCGACACTTCCGCCATCTGCAATC